CAACACTAATATTTTATGGATGCTTTGAAGCTGTACTGTTGGGACATGCTTGAAGATGGTCAATTTGTTTTTATTGATGTACTGGTGTGAATGTGCTTCAAGAATGCGACTTGATTTTAATTCATTTGCAGACGTCGGTGTACTTGCTAAAGGTGACTTTTTTATCGATGTGCAGCGCGTGTCGACGTGCTTCCAGAAGGTGACTTTATTTTAATCTATGTGTCGGCGATGATGTGCTTTCAGGAGGTACCCCTTTTTACTGACGTGCAAATGTGGATGTGCTTCCAAAAGATGGCCCAATTTTTATTGATGTGCAGATGTGGAACTCTACTGAAGGAAGGGTCCCCCAGGGCCATTTCCTGGATGTGTAAGGCGTTGGCAGCCGAGCGGCTCTGGCTCCCCGATCCGCTGGATGACCTCGTGGATAGGGCAGTGGCCCATCCCGACGACCTGTTTCCGTCGACCCTTTGTCACCTGGGGTACATCTGCTTTGTCAGTGGACACGTCCCTGCCAGACTGGACCACCTGGCACGCATAATGAATGACACGCTGCTCAGGTGTGTGCACGTTACAACTTCACTGTGTTGTCTGAACAGGCGCGTAGGATTTTTTATTCATAGAGCAACTGGTTCAAGCATTGACCAGCAGATGGTGACGGGCCGAAAGTTTGCTTAAAAGTTTGTTCAGCATACAAGAGGCATTCAGACATCATTTACTTTCCTATTGTTGATGTTATGTTGTTTTTTTACGTGTGTTTTTTTTTTTTAACTTAAAAAAAAAAAGATATGGGTTTGTGATAAAAAGTTGGTGTGACCCTCGCCTTTTCCCTTATTCTTCAGAAGCGTACAGTCGAGCCTGGTTATATCACACTTGGGTATTTCGAATTATTGTTTATATCGAACGGTCCAAGCATCTCCTTGAAAATCACATGTAATAGTATAGGAGCATTGTTTTTCTGTATCGCACTCCCATGCCGGGGACACTCGATATAGCGAACGAAATGCACGGCCCGCTTCTCCCACGGTTGGATTGCGCCGGCGGCGAGCACATAGCTTATGTTGCGGGGCTGGCAGACTGCCAGGCCAGCATACACGCACAGGAATATGCAGCAAAAAAGCAGTTGTGAAAAAATAAAAAAATAAATAAAAAATAGATAAATAATTGTCAAAAAAAAAAAAAAAAAAGTGGAGGATGGCAAAAGCAAGGGGAAGGGCACGCACTCGTAAAGAGGGCAGGGAGTGCCCGCTGTTGGACCGGTAGCTTGCGCTCTTTCACAGTTTTCGCTGAACACGGGAGAAACGGTGGCCAAGTTGGATAACGCGTCTCAGCTTGGAGCATGGAGTGAAAGCTTGTGCTGGGAACTTCCAAGGTTCGATCCCCATTGCCCCTGCCCATTTCGATCTGGATGAGTTTTGTACTGGCACGCGTTCGTTCACGTGATGCACGTTAAAAACCCTAAGTTAGAGGTCGTACTGCACTGACTAAATTTCCCATCTACAGCTAAGAGACCGGTTGCCCATTGAGGTGTACCAACATCAAGGCTGTATAAACATACAAAGCAGGACAATTCTAACTTGTTACAGCCTTATGTTTGTTTACCTTTTTCTTTCGCCGTTATTGCTTTGCCCTTTTTTTTCTTCTCTTTTTGCTGCCTGGAGTTAGTGAGGCTTCTTTCCTTTCTTTTGTTTGATTGCTTAACCTTATTCTATGGATCAAGTGTTTTCTTATATGCGTCTCGCTTTTTTTTTTTTTTCTTTTTTAAAATTATTTTTGCGTAATGTCATTGGTGCTATGTGGAGGCCGCGCGCGCGTAAACGACTGCAAACATTGTTGCATAATGCGGCAGTGTTTGCGATCTTCATCAACTAAGCTCTGCTGTATTTAGTGGCTCTTAGAAGCTTTATTTGGTAGGGTCTTGTTTGTCGCGGCCTTCGGTATTAGCAGAGATGCGCAGAACTTTCAACTGGAGCTTAAGTTAACATATTTTTGTATATCAAATTATCAATATACCAAACTATTTTACGATTCCCTTTGAATTCAATATATCCAGGTTCAACTTGATGTGCACCTTGCTGATACGGAACAGCCTGAGTGATGAGGAGGATAGTGAAGTTAGGCGGTATAATAAAAACCTTGGTAATAAATAAAAACCTTGGCGAGCGTAAATACTCTGTCAGTATCCCTTTAAAGCTGGGACAGGAGGCAGCACTCTGCGGTGAAGCCATAGAACCTTCAAAAAAGTCACACGGGAAGAAAGAAAGACCCTCGCAGCCAAAAGCTACTGACATCATTGGAGGATGATATGCCGCAGAATTGTGTGATCCTCCTTTCCCGAAGATGTGAAAGGTCATCCAGTTCTTCGTTTCCAGCTTCCATTTCGCGGTCTTTCTAAGGGCATAGCCTCGTCGTTGCGAGCCGCGTTTCATACTTGTATTCTACGGCGTGAGGTACCATTCTCGTTCTTGTTACGCAGGCACTTCGAGGAGCTCCCGGCCAATCACCTGCTGCAGGCTGCCGTGGCCTTGGGGTTTTTTCAGCGCTTGGAGAGCAGCATCCTCAAACGCATCTTCACCCTGAACTTCATGGACCGGCTGGACCAGGAACTTTTGTGTGAGTGGGCACGGCGTCCCAACTCCTGGCCATCGAATCTTCCGTGAATGGCCTGACCGCAGGGCGACCTAGCATAATGTACCAAGGAATGCCCCACCCCCGAAAGACGACCCACCCCTCCTCTTTTAGCTTGACTCACTATTTTTGTTCTTTAACATTGAAAGATAGCCCACTCCTACTAAGTGTAATGTTCGGATCTGTAACAACCTCGGCGTAAACGCGGCTGGTCGGCTACAGCAGGATATGAGTAGACGTCGGTGACTGGGAAGTATTGCCACGATAATAAGTTTGGCAGGAACATATACTATACTAAAAATGTAATTTCTTTAACTTTCCTCGATTGCAATCCAAAAGTTGGCCCACTCCTCATTTTTATCAGATTTCCCCTCGATTTTAGGCAAGCTATCTCTTGGAATATTACGCTAGAGCAGGACTGGCGTCTGCCTCATGCACCCCTGCTGCTGTGGCACCGCCAGGATTGCTACAGGCAACAGCACAATGTTTTTGTGATGTCGGATGGAAATGGGGGGGACCCTGTTTGGGGATGCCGTAATCGCTCCTGCCGGGGACACGTTCCAGGCACCAGGAGCTTGAGCCAAGATTGGTTTCTAGGTTCGAATCTCCTTAGGGTCTAGCCTTGTCCGTCCGGCGTCCGTGCTCACATCGATCTTGCTGGTGCTCGTGATCATGCTCGTGAGCTCACGTGCTCACGTGCTCGTGTAGGGGGAAAAAAAAATGATGAAACAAAAAAAGAAATGTTTGAGCAGTCGACAGGATTCGAACCTGTGCGGGGAGACCCCAATGGATTTCTAGTCCATCGCCTTAACCACTCGGCCACGACTGCGGGGCGAGTAGGGGGCTCTGAGATGTGGTAGTAACTCAAGAGCTGGGGATGTCATGGATGAAACGTTGCATGCAGCCGCTCAACATCTATGCAGGAGAGGGAGCTGCGATCAAATGCGTATATAATCGCGTTAAACTTTGCATGCATTAGCTCAACGTTTGTAGACGAGAGGGCGCTGCGGTCAAATGCTCAAATGCGTATATAACCACATTCCATACCACACATTCTCTTTCTGATATGGATGAAAACGAACGAAAGGCTCGGCATGCTGTGGCTCAGCGTCTACGCAGACAAGTACCACCAGAGCTTTGCCCCAATCAACATCATTCACCACGTGGAGATGCGCTTATTTTTTTTCGTCGAGCTTGTTTCCGGCACCTATGGGGAAACTTTCTCTGTCGATTGGCTTGCTTAGACCTTGCCGACGAAACGAACAAATTTCAGAGGCAGAAACGTGTTGTGCTTGAAGCTCCCCAAAAGTACAGGTGGTGTATTTTGCAGTTGAGAAAAGAGCACCAAAAGAGCTGGAACATGTAGGACAATAAAACCGATCGAAAGGTGCATGAAATTTGAAATGTGCAAAAGTCGTTGAACATCATTTCTGGAAAACGAGGGTGTTTACTACGTGCAAATCACGAGTATGGTTTCGTTAAAGGCTTTTTTGCATTTTCTGTACAATATGTAGCCGTACGTGGTTAGTCCTTTGAAAAATGACGGAAACTGTTTTCTTGCGTTTCAAATTCGTGTGAAACACCCATAGCAGATGTGAAAGGTATTAGTAAGTAAAAGTGCCTATATTTCTTTCACAAATTTTCCTTGCATTAGAAAAAAAAAAAAGAAGAAAATTAGACATTGAGTGTCTATAGACAGTGAGAGATTGTTCTAACATTCAGAAATGCTGCCACCAGTTCACGCTGTAGACAGGCTATTCCCCACCGGTAGTGCTGCAGTAAAGCAGTTTAGATGCCTATTGACTTCGCTAACTACCGTACAGATAAGAGGTATGGAACATTTGGATGATAGTTGCGCAGTAGTGCATTGCTCAAATATGTTTGAATGGTGTTTTAATTGGGGAAACTCATTACCTAAGAGTAGAGATGATATGAAAAATTTGAGCCAGAGAATCCAGTGTGTGAACCTATTTACTAGACAAGAGGGTGCAAGTGGTTCTCAGTGTTACGTGCAAGTTTTCATTTCCCCACGACTCGTACGTGTCAAGTTAACAGGCAGAAATTATGTTTTTTTTCTGTGTCCGCATTTTACTCATTTGCATTGATCTTTATATTTTTTGCTTTCAAGAGTTACTTACTAACCAGCTTAGCTTTCCATGTTAGCTGGGAAATCTATTTTTGCGCCCTTTGGGAACCCACGTCGGGGTAACCTCCGCCTCAAGTCGCTTTTTTACCTTCCCAAGTAACGGTATTATGTGGCTGCTCTTTAGCTAGCTAGTGACATGCTCTGGCAATAAGGGGAGCTGTACATAATTGTAACATTGTGTGATTTTACTTGAGCTACCTTGCCACACCTAGTTACCGAGAGGGTGAAAATGGCTGGGTGCAAACCCATATATGTAGAGAGTTTGACCATTCGTTGGGAAGTATAGGAGACAAATGAGGAGGTGCCATTGGCCGAAAGCGGGCTGGGCGTGTTCCAGGACGTCTTCAGAAATTCTAATGTGGCCCACCAGAAGCCGGAAATAATACCCTAGCAGCGGTCACGAGAAACAAACTTGATAAGCTTGTTGGAATAACTCTCGGTGACTGAAAACATGGTGCACTTGATGTTTCAATCACGGTCATCCAAAATCATGGTGGAAGAGTGCGACTAGTGGAACGATCGACATAGTTCATATGCCAAGCGCCAAGGGCCGGGAATCTGCCCTCCGAGTGGTCACACTCTGTCCGAGCAAAACAGAGTTGAGCGGCGCATTCGTTTCTTACATCTTTCTGCATGATCATGATCAAAACGTCACAGGCACCCTATTTTCAACCATGAAGTGTTACTACAAATAACTCTTACACGCTTAATAAAACGACCGAAACTGTTTCTCGCTACCACCGCTAGGGGATTCTTTTTGGCTTTTGGTTGGCCAAGAAAGCATGCCAAGTCCACTTTCTGCGTCTGGGCCCGTTTGCTCGAAGCCGGTTAACTTTAACCGCAGTTAAAAGTTAACCGCCCTTCCTTACTAGGTATACCTACAAGTACCTAGCCAAGTTTGACGAGGGCTGGATGAGCGATAGCTCCGTGTTTTATTATAGGGTGGTAGCTGGTGTCACCTACTGGTTGTAGCGAATGTAAGTGGCTTCTGTGGAAAACGTTCCCGATAAGGGGGGACTTAAAAACGCGCGCTACCGGGCTTTCACGTACCTGCGCGGCATACATTTGAGCAGACACTTTTTTGTTGCTCGTGGTACAGATATTAGATAAGGTAAAATTAAATTCATCTTTGTTTGGAAAAATTTTAAATGCTTGGCTGTCTAAATTGAAGACAAGCCTCGTAGAAATTTCCTTCCAAGTTCAAAAGAGGACGACGAAGTTCAGTCCTATAGAAACGATAAGGAAAAAGTGAGCATTGAAAGCCGGGCAGTACATCGGCAGCATGGTTGGCCAGCATGTAAGAACTGTAAATAACACCATCATAAATTGAAAAACCTGTGATTCGGCTCCAGTGAAAATATACCTATTAGTAAATTACCCAAGCATCGAGGAGAACGCTGGAAGTGTAATTCTACGGTCCGCGCGCGCTGGATTCACCTTATAAAAGACTCGAAGTAAATAATCATAATAAAGCTTTGAGGAACGCACGTGCAAGGCAAAGTTTACTTTAGGTTTTTTCTTTGCTTAAGAACAGTTACTACTGCAGACGCTAACACGTGCAGCACGTGCAACTATACTCGCAGCATGCACCTCGGTGCTTGGGAAACTTAGCAAAAGGTCTATTGGGACGCTGTCTGCTTTTGTGTGATACCCAGCCGATTAAGTCAAGGCAATCCACTTTCCAAAGACGTTGCCATGCCGACAATTATCACGTTCATTTAGGCTTAGGAATGGCCAGAATCGAAAGACTATCCAAAAAATGCGGCAATGTCATTGCTCGTGCTTGGCGATTTAAGTGAGGTAAGGCAAAGCGAAAGCCTCTTGCACCATTCATTGCTGACTAATGTGCCTAATATTGTAGCTACAACGACATATCAGGTCCAAAGCGAGCGGCGCTCACTCACCGGGGCACCGCCATGTTTCCCCGCCGTCCTTACTCTGCCGGTCACGTGACCGAAAATTTCCGGTCGTAGGGAAATGCGGTTAACTTCTAACTGCGGTTAGAGTTAACCAGCTTCGAGCAAACTGGCCCTGATGCACGCCCCGGCTCTGCCCGCGCCTGCCATTCACCAAACTCCCTGTAAACACAACTCTGGCTGGGTGTGTCTTTTGAACATCCGGCCTCCGGCATGCTCGGGGTACACGAGATGCTGAAGCGTCGTCGAAGGTAGCGAGCTCGCGCTGGAGGCAGGACGACCAAAGCTCGTCTCTACTGTTCTAATCCTGTCAGTGACAATTGCAATATGTTCTGATAAGATGTTTCTTTGTGTACGTGCACACTCTTGCAGGCAAGCACGAGCGGGTACCGGGGCGCCAACTACGGGAGCTTCTCGGCACGCTGAATCGGGTGGCCTGCCTCGACTTTCCAGAGGAGCGTGTGCCGTGGTTTCATGGACAGTACTACCGAACAAGGGCTCGTAGTGGTATGTGAATTCCTCGAATACTACAGTCGAACCTGCTTATAGCAAACCTGAATCGAGCCAGTTATTGTCTATATTTACAACAAAATTACATGTAAATTTACATGTAATTGACATTAAAATAAACAAAGTTACATGTAAAATTACATGTAAAAAATTAACTCTATAATGAACAACCCATTGGCTATACAGAACTAAGAAAAACGCGGACTTCGAAAACGCACGAGCACCCATAAAAAACAAATTAAAAATACACAATGCCCCCGTCTCATTTAAAAGAGAAAAGAAAAAGGAATGCATTAAGTTAAGCCTGCCAAACATCAAGCAAGAAGAGTGACTGCAGAAAGTGCAAAGAAACATACAAAAAAAAAAAAAAAAAAAATCAAGGGCAGGACACGCTGTGGGAGCAATCTCCACTCGAAATTTCAGAGTCCGTGCCGGCTGCTTCCTAACAAGCGCTTGCTATGTTTTGTTTATTTATTTTCTTTCTCGTTTAACTTTTGCATGCTAATCTGGTTCGCAGAGGATATGGCAACCGTCTTTCTCATTCTTTGACAAGCTGGAAATGATTCCTTGGCACAAAGTACTGATCTTGGGGCATCGCGGCTAGAGAAGCAGTGGCGTTTGCGTGCAACCAGCAATCCTCGCTGCAGCTCGGCTGTTCTGCGCGGCTCTCTTTTTCGTCTCTACGGTTCCGCTGGTTTTGTTTGGGCTCTGGCTTCATGGGGGCAAAATCACATTTCTTTTAAGGACACGATTTCCATACTGCAGATCGTGGATCTAAGCCCAGATGAAAAAACTTTGCAACCAACTAAAATAGTAAAACAAAAATTTTTATGAGCACGCTGTGGTGCTTTAGTTTTTTAAACCTCCTCGCAGAATAAAGAGTTTGAAAGCTAGTACTTTTTGTATCTGCAATTAGCCCGTCTAGAGCTTTATTGGTTACATTTTTGTGGGTCATAAATGTTTGTCGTGGTCTGCTGACGAATGCATTGACGTCTGTTTACCGTAGTGTCAAGAAAATAATTGTTCATTACAAAGACCTGGCCTCAGGATTCGCAGTTGGCCCGGTTTTGATATAGCAAATTACGGGATATATTGGAATAAAATGCGTGTCTGACAGAGTTCATTATAAACAGGTTTGACTGTATTGGCCACTAGATGTTTCAGTGGCGCCACATCACAGGTGCTTTTCTGTGGCATAGCGGGTGAAGCTTCGATCAGACGACGCAACAAGTAAAATCGCACGGGGCATTTATGTTAGTTTGCATCCGTGTCAATTGACAAGCTGTTAAATAAAAGAATTGACCGCATCTCCACGTGGTGAATGATGTTGATTGGAATGAAGCTCTGGTGGTGCTTGTCTGTGTAGACGCTGAGCCGCAGCATGCCGAGCCTTTTGTTTGTTTTCACCCATGCCAGAAAGAGAATCTGTGGTATGGAACGTGGTTATATACGCATTTAAGCATTTGACCGCAGCGCCCTCTTGTCTATAAACATTGAGCCAATGCATGCAAAGTTTAACGCGATTATATATGCATTTGACCGCAGCACCCTCTCCTGTATAGACGTTGAGCGCCTACATGCAACGTTTCATCCATGGCATCCCCAGCTCTTGAGTTGCTACCATATCTCAGAGCCCCCTACTCGTTCCGCGGTCGTGGCCGAGTGGTTAAGGCGATGGACTAGAAATCCATTGGGGTCTTCCCGCACAAGTTTAATTCCTGTCAACTGCACAAACATTTTTTTTTTTCATTTTTTAATATTATTTTTTTTTTTTGCCTTACACGAGCACGTGAGCATGTGAGCTCATGAGCACGAGCACCAGCAAGATCGATGTGTGCACGGACGCCGGACGGACAAGGCTAGACCCTAAGGAGCTTCACCCCTAAAAAAAGTTTATGCCATTTTTATTAGTTTTCTTTCTACCTAATTGCACCATCTGCAAGTCGCTTTTGATGGAGACGATCCTTAAAACGTTAAAAACAAGCCTCGAGCTTTACACGACACCTTGTGTGGCGTGCATCATGGCGTCTGTGATTCTCGATTTGTTTGATCTCTAAAACCTCCGATAGAAAACTTTTTTTTTCAGTTAGAAATGTGTAGGACGCAGAGGTCGGCAATTTTCGTTGAACTCACTCACAGCTAGCTCAAAATAAAAAGTTAAAAACTCACTCACCTTCACCCTCACAGTCACCTTCAAATCCTCACTCACGAGCTCACTCCCCTCGGCAAACTCATGAACTCACCATACTCACAGCCCTGACTGAATTCATGAACTCACCGAACTCACAAATTCACGCCCCTCACCAAACTCATGACCACACCTAACTCATGCCCCTCACTGAACTCAGAAACTCACACCCCTCATCGAACTCGTAAACAAATTCGCTCACCGACCTCACTCGCTCGGAAGTAGTTCTCGCCCTCATTGTAGTCGCGGCGCTGGCGCTTGTGTTGCACGCGGGTTGCACGGATTTTACAACTCCGCCACGATCGTTGCCGTTTTCCACCGCTCCGGCGCCAGTCATCATGTCACCAAGCAAAGAAAGGTTTTGTCTTTTTCTTTTTTTTTGCTTCGACTCCTTCGGCATGCCTGCCTTGCGCTTGAGGAATGCGTGGTGTGCACCGTTTGTTTCAAGCATATGCAACAACTTTGTGCAAGTATGAAGTGAGCATCTGCATCGCTGTTTATTCAGGTGTGAATTATTATTATTCCAACAGGCACCACCGTGGTGTGTATTTTGTTTATGTATGGAATGTTACAAACTTTTCCTTAAAAAACACATGCAAAAGAGAAAAAAAAAATTTTTAAACAGCCTAGATGGGAAAAGGAAGTCATAAAATGAATTTACAACGAACAAGAAAAATTTTTAGAGCTATATTTACTGCATGAAACGATTTTGTAGTTGACGTTTGCGGGTGCCCGCGGAAAAGTTGCTGTTATTTAGTATCTCGTGACTGCCCGCTATTTATCACGTGGTGCTTGCGCTGTTTCAGGAGCTTCCTATTGTCTCTAAAAGTTACTTATTCATCTTCATTTGAAGTGCAACAAAAAGTGAAGGTTAAGAAGTAACTTTTAGAGCCCAATGGAAGCTCCTGAAAGAACGCGAGCACCACATGATAGACCTGTGCACCGGTCAGAAATTGACGGCGGCGGCACGATGGAGTGTTCCCTTTCGGTGGCGGTGGCGGTGGCGTGAAGAAACACGTTAAGGTAACGCACCACGCTCAGCGTGCGGCGGCGGCGACGCAGCATGGCGGCACACAGGTCTACAACGTGACGAGCGGCGGCTTCCGCGGGCACCAACTACAAATTCGTTACGCGTCATAAATATAGTTCTAAAAAAAAAAAAAAAATTTTGCTTCATTGTAAATTTGCTTTATGACATTCTTTTTCTGTGTAGGCTATTTTAAAAAAAATGTTTTCTTCCTTTGCATGTGTCCTTTAATGGTAGGACGGCTTGCTCGGCAAACCGTTGTCAAGTAGAATCATTTCGGTATGGTCTCTTTTTATATTTTTCGTCGTTCACACAAATTATTTAACCTAAAATAAATGCCTGGTGGATATTTTCTTTTTTTCTGGAAGAAGAAACAATAGAAGAACTTTGTGCGTACCATATTATTTTTTTTTTATTGCGCCTCTCGTGTTTTGTTGCACCGCACATGCCCATTAAAACTGGAACATTCTAATCTACCGCCTCTGTGCCTCGTAAAATTCTCTACTTTATGGATCCTGACATAGCGGTGTCAGATGCCTTCAGTATTCTTGTTGCTCAGACAATGTGTGTTTGTGTTCAAACTTGTTGGTATATGTTGAATACAAATATTTACAAACTACATGTACAAAGTTATTTTTATATTAAAATCATTGATTAGTTTTCGATGGATTGTATTTTTTAATGTCTTCACTAATTTGAATGAATAAATAGCCTACTGGTGTAAGTGCAGGTTCTTATACCTTAGATATTTAAATTGCTTCACTTCTAACTATTGATAGCCTAATTCGTATATCCACGGTATATTTCAGGAGGGGAAGGCATGGTATGCAACTTAATTGAATGGTCTACATTTCTTCAATATTTGTCTTGTTAGATACAAAAAATTGGGGTGCTTAATTTCTTCGGGCGGGGAAGGTTGCCTCCATGAATGCATGCGCATGCATGCATATCAGATATATTTACGTCTTGGGTTTGGATTTACCCACTCCCCCCTGTAATTTACTCGTATAAATATAAATCGTTGCTAAAAAAATTCGCTAGAGACACTTAAAACTGCTTACGTGTAGGAATGCGAAAGCATTCCAACAAGCAGCGCACCACATCTTCTTTTTTCATACAGCGTGCCGGCGGTGACATCATGCTCCCCCGCTGCGCAGGCGCGGCTCCCCCTCCGACTCCACGACTTCCCTGACGATGCATCTGCATTGCTGTGTTCTTGTTTGTGTTTTATTTCTGAGGCGCGTCTGCTTTGACCTTGAGCGCCCGGCCGGCTTCCGCGACGAAGCATCTGATATGACGCGTCGCAGCCAATGGGAGTTCCGCTTGTGGGTGTCATTTTTCTTCTACAGAAAGTCACAGACAACGCCGGCTTCATTCCATGGGACAGTTAATTTTTCTCATGAGAAGAAAAATAGCACTCCTCGTAAACTACTTTGGCGTGCACCGGCGCGAGCTCTATCGGTTTGTATATAATAATAAATAGGAATCATAACTAATATCTAAATACTACTTTTGGATCTATTAAGAAGGTTCTTTTTTCGGCGCACAAAACGTTTTCGGGTGCAGGCAGTTTTCCGACTATGCTCAATGTCCCCCTCTTGAGCGACTGATGGGGTGTCAGATAGCAGGATAGAACATTGATTTGTTATACTTATCACCAATATTATTAGGGGAAAGTAAAAAATATTGTTTTATATCTCTTTGAATGTAATCTAGAAACTTACCGTCTGCAATTTTTTAATGATAATCTAGAATCGAATCAACTTTTATGTTCTACCAAAT